TGAGGCATCCAGCTTTAAAGTCCAGGAGGAAATAGACCTTCCAACCATTGAACAAACTTGGACATGGACCTTCTTGCCCCATGGCTGTAGCCCTGATCAACAGCTGACTACACAGCTCACTAGAGACCTCAAAGGACCCTTTTCAGGCTCTGGAGTTGAGAGCACACTGGGTGAAGTGCTCTCTGATTTAGTTCTAGTAGTCATACCGAGGTTACTATTGTGATTTCCATTTTACAGAGCAAGGCCCAGAGATCGAATCCCTTGTCCAGATTCTCCAGCTCATACCTGCCTGAGCTGGGACATAAACTTGGGTCTAGCTGTGTTTTGCTTTTCCCAAGCGAGGCTTGTGAAATACCAGGAACACCTTTCCTTTCCTTATTTTATCCAAAAGTCATTATAAACAGTGACCTTCACTGAGCTTCTTGGCCCCAGGACACAGTTCTCAGTCTCTTTCACCTTGGTCTCTCCACCTCTGGATGGCCAGATGGTGACTGCAGTCTCCTGGGGAATGTCTGTCCCTCACCAAGCACAGTTCCTGGGCTTTTCTCTTCTCATGCTGGCTTCAACAAGCCATTCCCTTCTGGGCTGCCTGTTTTCCTGCTCACTCCAAGAACCATTCTCTACTCTTGAGAGAAGGCAGGATATCTCTTCCTGTGCCTTGCTCCATTCCTGGTAGGCAGTGCCTCTACTAGTGACTGGGTTTTCTCTGTGGTTCCCCTCTCACTGGGCAGCCCACTGTGATTTTAGCTCCTTTTCATTGGCCTCTCTAGTTGTAATTGTGGCAGCACAGTGTTCTACTTTGCTAATCTTGCCTGAGTCTCATTCCCCCTTCTTTCAGGACTACTCTTGTTGCAGTGAAATCCTCAAATGAAATTTTCACCAGGAACTGTTCTTCAGGCCAGACCTCAAATGATGCCTGTATCTATACTCTGGACTTCATAGTCACCCCAACTTCTTCTTCCTTAGATATTTTCACCCACAGGAGCTGCTTTCTGACTTTAATCTCCATTCTTTCTCCCCCTACCTTCTTTCTTCTTACTCCTCCCATCCTTCCTCCCACCAGCCATCTGTCCATCTACTCACCCATTGTTATCTGTTGAGCTTCTGTGCTCTGTGGTTGTCCAGGCCCTGCGGTTGCTGATGATACGGTGAACACAGTTGCTAACCAACGTGTTTTCTTGGAGCTTACAGACTTGTGCAGGAGGAATATAACTTAAAAGTACATATAAAACCATGTAAGTGTTATGATGGGGGGTAATCATGAGTGGTGCTGTCTCAACTGGGGGTGAAGAGGTAGGGTGGGGTGGTAGTGAGGGTGCATGTCCTTGAGACCCAAGAGATCAGGAATTGACTGAGCAGAGGAGGGCAGAGAGGAAGAGGAGAGCAGGTTGAGGGAACAATCTGGGTGAACTCAGAAGTTTGATGAAGAAAGAACCAAGGCTTGAGAGGTTTAAAGGGGACTTTTCAAGCAGAAATGAGCCTAGCCCCAACTCTTGGGGAGAAAGCTACAAGTTACTGCTAAGGCTGCCATGATTCCTTTTCTTTTTAAACTCCAAGGTGAGCAATACATCTCAGGCCATGTTTGGCTCTAGACCCCATAATTCCTTATAATGAACACCAGCTACTCAAACATCCTGCTTCTCTTGAATTCTGGAACTGTTCCTTGGGTGTCATTGGATGCTCCTTTTTTGAAACTGCTGTATTTATCTGGTTTTCTTTTGTCTTAGATACCTACCTAATTATAAGATGATTTGAGTTGGGGGCCTCTCCTTAATGGTTTGTCCTACGGGTTACAAGGCATTTTGGTGCCAAAATGGGAAAAATGTGGATCCATTTAAATGAAAGGCACATACACGTACCAGTGCTGCAGGGGCCAGGCAGATGGTGCCAATAAGTGGGGGCCACAGAACCTGGGGCCTTGTCGGGCTGCCTTTCACTTTTCTCTTGGTGCTGATGTAAGAAGATCCATAGTGTGAACAGGCTGATGAATGGCAACCATCATTGCACTGTGCTGTGGTGATAGTGAGAGGCCAAGGAGGGTTGTGAGGCATAGAGAAAGTGTGTAAGGTGCCACCCAGTACTAGTGTCCTCTGGGAATGCAGGCCTACTGCCTACAGACACTCCACCAGGAGGCCACCATCAGGATTTGGGGCATATTAGTTGACTAATTTTTTAAGTTTGATTTGGAAAGTTTTCGGTTTTTCTTAATTTTTTTTCTTGAGGCACGCTACATATTAAGATCCTGTCTCAAAAACAACAATATCAACAAAATTTCCTGAAGGGTGACTTTGAACTCACTAGGTAGCCTAGGCTGACTTTGAATTCTTGATCTTCCTGCCTCAGCCTCCAAAGTACTTCCTGCTTCCTCCAAAGTAGGATTATAAGTATGAGCCACCATGGGTGGCTGGCAAAAAACCTTTTTTTGGGAGCGTATCACTATGTAGCACTGACTGGCCTGGAACTCGCTGTGTAGACTAGGCTAGCCTCGAAATCACAGAGATCTACCTACCTCTGCCTCCCTAGTACTGGGACTAAAGGCATGCACTGCCATATTTGGCTGGAAAATAATTCCTAAAATTTAAAATATACTATACAGGCCACCATGATATAGACCATGCAAAACGGACCATTCATGGTTCTAAACCTTGCCTGTGTTAGAATCACCTGGGGAGCTTTTGAGAGTCCTGTGACTGAGTCACCTCTGTCAGTTAAATTCACTTCTGAAGGCAGGACCATCTTCAGTATTTTTTTCAATGTCCCCAGTGCATCCATTCCATACTTCAGGCTGAGAATCACTGGGCCTTCTGCGCATAAACTTGTAGCCTCAGTTTATAGGATCTATTTTGGCAGCAGGACATTGTGATGGCTCTGCTTCATCTGGGTTTTTTTTCTAGTGTCAATTGGCAGGTATAATGGATTGACCAGCGGCTTAGTGGCCTGGATGGGTCTCCTCAAGGAAAACGTGAGTGTCCTCCTATTTCTCTCAGGGCCCTGACTCTTCACCAGGAAGTGCAGTTGTTATGGCGATGGCAGAAGAGGATACCGAGACACGTGCTGTCTGGCTTTGTGTGGTCGCAGAAGCGTCTTTCAGAGTCCATGTTATCTGCAGCTCCTTGTCCTGGGTATGATTTCTTGTTCAGCTACCTGGCTACTCTGTATGTTACAGGATAGTGATTATGTGGCAGGAGAGCAGGGACTGGACACTGAAACATCAAGATTAACATACGAAAGAAGCCAGTTTGCGGAGGCAGATTGGAAGCCTTCCTTACCTGGGCTTTAATGAACAGAGGCCATGCAAAACAGCCTGTGAACTACAGGTGGGAGAGGCAGCAACTGTGAAGGGCAGTAAACCCTGGTTCTAAAGACTTCAGGGGCTTTTCTTCAGCCCACTAGGTTGCTTCCATTCTTGGAAGTGCTTTTCCTTTCTTAAAAAAATTTTTTCTGGGGGGAATTTATTTATTTGTATTTTATGTGTATGAGTGTTATGCTTGTATGTGTGTAAGTGGGCCCATGTCATACAGTGCCTGCGGAAGATAGAAGAGGGCTAGCTTTTGCTGACCTAATTGGTAAGGTACACTCACATTGTGAGGTCTAAGAGTAGACTTTAACCACATGTACAAAATGCTTTGGTAGCAATACCTAGCCCACCTACAACATTCCCAGGAATCAGTATTCCCTTACCCAGGACTCCAGTGAAGATAAATGGGTGGACTTGCAAATGAGAAGGGGAGAGTGGGAGTCCATGTAGGCAGACACACGTAGGGAAAGACAGTGTCTGGTAGTGCAAACTAATACTAGGAAAACAGAAGAAGAAGGTGCTCTCTTTACTTGAGAATGTTCTGTTGAGTTTGAATGCCAACACAGAAACCCATGTGTGGGAAACTGAAACCTCAAACATGCAACCATGGTGGGAGGTGAGGCCTTTGGAACTGTTTAGGTCACAAGGGCTCTGTTCTCATGCATGGATCAATGCCTCTATGAAAAGGACGAGGGGATTTGGCTCGCTTTGTACCCTTCTGCCTTGTGCCATGTCAGGAGGCCCTCAACAGATGTGGGTGGCTTGCTCTTGCCCTTCTCAATCTCTAGAACCATGAAAAATAAATTTCTATTCTTTGTAATTACCTAGCCTGGGCTATTCTGTTTCAGCAGCACAAAATGGTCTAACGATGGATTCCTAGCACCAACTCTGTGGGTAACATTGCTACTTCTGCTGAGTAACCATGGCTCCAGGCTCCATTTATGAAATTTATATTGTGTTTGGTTATGTGAATCAGCCTGCATTAACATCAAGAATTTTATTGTGAGCCTCTTACCAAGAATGTCTTCCTGCGGTTTTGGTTACCAGGTGGCATTTACACTATTCACTGCCCCCTCTGCTGCGTTCATTTCCAGTATATATCCAATCCCACTGGCTTAGGACTTGTCACTGTCGCTTGCTTCGGGGAGAGGAATGTGGGCAGGAAAGTCCTGGAGCTTCATACAAGTAGAGATGCTCTGAGCCCCCATTGTTCTTCCAGGGTCTTAAAGATGCCATCTCTCATACAGAGTCTGCTCTGGGTCCCCAAATGAAGACAGCTCTTGGAACAGAGCTGTATCTGACCCACACATGTGAGTGAAAAATAAAACTGTGTTGGTGAAGGCTATTGAAATTTTGGGGTTCTTTGTTATCATAGCATAACACCTTGAAAGCTGACTAATTTGCCAGGATATTTGGAAATGTCTGTAGGACTGGTTGGGTGGAATCTTTTGAGTCTTTTCACAGGACTTGGAATTTCCATGTCCATAAGTTTCAGCTTATTTAGGATTCCAGAATATCTAAGATAAGGTCTGCTAAGGTTATTTCCTTTTAAAAAAATTAATTACTTTTTTAAAGTAACAAAGCAGTGTGGGCTGGGGATATAGTTCAGTGGTAGGGTCCTTGCCTAGTACGTGCAAAGCCATAGGTTCAATCTCCCCTCCAACAGGAAGACTACAAGTCACTGGAATATGTACAACCACAATTGAGAACAAAATATTTTATTTCTTTCAATAAAACTATAGTTTACAGTAGTATTTACTAAATAAATTACATCATTTCTCTTTTACAAGCAATAAACTAAATCACAAATATTTCAAAGACAATGTATACACATGACATAAGGCCTTTATAAATAGCTTTGCTTTTCTCATTTCACTAGTAAACAGTGAAAAAAATCTTTATAGAAGCTAGTTTTCTATAAAGTATAGGCAGACCTAATATACTGATCCTGAAAAGAAACCAGTTTAAACTTCCAGTGACATGGGCTATGATTGAAATTTTGTAAAGAAAGAGAATTTATACCTTATTTATCATTTTGCATGGATGGAGTTTTAAAAATATAGGCAGATACTTATGTGGCTTATGTGTAATCACTGTATGCATGCGAAATGAAATAATGCAAGAGTCTGTTGGAAAGCAGCAGTTCCAGGTCCAGAAAGGTGACTGGCGATGGTATAGAAAAGCAACTTAAATATAGTTCATGCAGTTTTTCACAGTCAGCAAGCAACAGCAACAATAGAATAGTGTGGTATTTTCACATCCCATCTGCTGATCAGCCCCTGGACCAGACTCCCCTGACATCTCACACACTTCCAGGTCCAGTTGATTTTTCCTGTTACTGAAGCTCAGGCCAGTTCTTCTGGAGAACTCTGGAGTGGAGAAGCTTCTCTCCCACAACTGTGTTCAGTCCCATTCATGTGCTTAGGTGGTCGCCACTTTCACTTACTGAGGAAAAAGGAGAGAAAACAAAGCAGATGTGAGACAGTTTTAGTATCAGTTTATAACTCCTGCCTGTAAGTGGGAACACAAGTTATTATTTCTTTTATACCTGAAGAACATGGAGAAACACACATTAGGCTTGGGATTCTCCATCTGCGATCAGCATAGTATATGTGCTTCCCTGGGGGACCTGAGACATGTTAATCACACCAATGTTTATTAAGATCAAGTCCCAACCACATCACAGCCTGGGGCTGGGGACTTAGAATGGCACAAAGTTAAGATGCACTTCTGCCCTCCCAGTACATAGGACTGTGGTGGTGATGGTGGTGGTGGCGGCGGTGGCGGTACATAAGACCCTGACACAAAGCAAAGCAAAACAAACAACAAAAATAAAATAAATAAAAACAGAGTCAGCCGAGTCAACCCGTGATAGGGTTCTGCAGGGAAGTACTACCAATTTTAGTATGTACGGACATAAATTGGGCCAAATCTATTCCCTAGTTATTGAAGCCACGTTTTATGGAGGCTTCCCTGCTTTTAAGTCCTGTTTCATCTGTAGAATAGAGTAATAAACCCATCTTCTAGGGCAGTTGTGAGGAATAAACTTTTCTTCCTGCCTTCACCCCCCTCTCCTTTCTTTTTAGAGGGTTTTTTACCTCAGCCTGTCAAGTAGCTGGGACCATATGTGCGTACCACCACAAACAGGAGAGAAACTTTTCTTTTGGGGAAAAGAAGGTGTTAAACATTACACACACACACACACTGCCACTACTATATTGTTTCTGTTGCTTGCTGACTGTGAAAAACTACATGAACTATATTTAAGCTGCTTTTCTATACCACTGCCAATCACGTTTCTGGACCTGGAACTGCTGTTTTCCTGTAGAATCTGCATTACTTCATTTTTGCATGCATATAGTGATTACACATAAGCCACATAGGTAATCTTCTTATACACAAAGAAGTACAATTTAGGGCAAAGGATGTAGCTCAGTGATACATCCCTGGGTTCAGTTCTTAGAATCAAAACAGCAAATAGCAGTACAGCATCCCCAAATTGGAGTAAAGGTTAGAGCTGAGATCACAGAGATCGTGCAATCCCAATACCTTCCTAGAGCCTGAAAAACTTGAATAAAAAGTTTAAAATGAAAATTATTAGGAAGAGGGCTGGAGAGATGACTCAGTAGTTAAGAGGACCCAGGTTCAATTCCCAGCATCCACATGGTAACTAACAACTGTCTGTAACTCCAGTTCCAGGGCATCATTCACCCTCTTCTGAGCTCCACAGGCATTGCATGACATGGGTGTACCTACCTACATGCAGGTGTTACACTCATACACATAAAATAAAAATAATAAGCTGGGTGTGGTGGCACCACACCTTTTAATTCCAGCACTTAGGAGGCAGAGGCAGGTGGAACTCTTGAGTTCAAGTTCAGCCTGGTCTACACAGAGCTCCAGGCCAGCCAGGCTACTGGGAGACTCTGTCTCAAAAAGACCGAAATAAACAAACAAAATTATTTGGAAGAGGACTATGTCAAAGGGGAATTCTGTTTGGCAATCAGTAATGAATATTAATCACATAATCAGATCTTATGGTGAGTTGTAATTTTTATTAACTTACTTCTTTGGGTGTGGTACTAAGAATTGAACCCAGGGCCTTGAGCATACTAAGCAAGTACCCTACCTCTGAGCTACATCTCTAGCCCTTATTCTTTATAGTAGATTTCTAGTCTTACGAAGGTTCTCTTTCTTAACTACACAGCACTCATGGACAGAACACCAGATGTCAAGGCTTCCTGAGGTCTCATGACTTGGCTCTCTTACCTCTGTTTAGCCAACAGATTATGTTAAACTCTAGATGGTGCTGTGAGGTAACCTCTGGCAGGACTTCATATCACTTTAGCCATGATGAACCTGTGCTAAAACAGTCCCATGAGATGTTCATGGTCCTCCAGGTCTTAACCTTAGGAGTGATCTTTTTTGTGGTTCTGGGGATGGAACCCAGGGCTTTGCACATGTGAGCCAAGCATTCTACCTCTGAGCCATGCTGCAACCCCATCATGTTCTTTTTTTTTTTTGGTATTTTTGAGACAGGGTCTCCCTGTAGCCCCAGCTGTCCTGGAAC